CTCTCCACGCACACACTCTCCGACACATCCATGCACACACTCTCCACGCACACACTCTCCGACACATCCACACACACCAACATGCGCCTCAGATTCCTGACATACCACAGCAGCCATTTAAACATCCAGTGGCGAATCCGAAGTCTGTCTTGTTCCAGGTCCCAGTCTGGGGCTCCATTAGTGTGATATTGTGCAGACTGGATGAGAGTGAAAGAGAGGAGACAAGCTGACTTAGGGTGCCAGGGTGTGTGTGTGGGGGGGGGGGATGCAGGACAGAGGCAAAGAAACACACACACACATATGCTTGTATTTATATCTTTGTGGGGACCGTCCATTTCTAGCGGCATAACACAAATCCTGACTCTGACAACCTTAACCCGTACCCAGCCCAAACTTTAACCACGAGTAACCACACAAAATACAAGACATTTGGCATTTTTAGCTTTTTGATTGCAGTCACAGATTTTGATAAAATTGAGTTTCCCATTGTGGGGATCAGAAAAATGTCCCCACAAGGTTTTCATTACATTGTAGAACATTTAGTCCCCACAATGTCAAATATACCTGTGCACAAAGATGTGCTCCCTCAGAAACAGTTTATTTCTAACTGTTGTCTGGACATGGTCAACACATCAGGTAAATATGAGAAGCAGCACACAGTATTAGTGGGCCTGACACTGGCAGGCCTAACTTCAGCCTGCTACAGCTGGGTCAGAGGTCCTCCACTGAACTGCAGCACGTGTTCCCATGGGATTATGACTCTGAGAACTTGATTGGGACCCAACACTCCCGGTGTGCAGGTAGGATTGGCCAATAGTGCATCGTTATACTGTAGCCACCGAATTCATTGACTGGAATGCATTGTGTTTGCTCAGCCAGGTGTGTGCAACCTCTGTACACTCTGTACGCCTTGTGAGTTCGCTGAAGGGCATGACGTACTGTGGGTGTTGGCAAAGCATGGTGCTTTATTTAGTGTGATGCGCTGCTGGTTTTATGTCAGAAGCAATTAAGCCTGCATCAGTTTTATTTGATACTCCTTTGTTTTATATCAGTCATATCAGAAGGAGGGAAATTTTAACTGCAACATATTTTAACACGCTTTGGGCAACCAAATAGCAGCAAAAAGGCCACCAATCACACATTGCCCATTATAGCATCATTTGAATGTTGAATAGCAGCATTTAATTGTAGTTGGCATTGAAGTTATTGCATCTTACTATTTTATCTTTTCTTGATCTGACATCAATGCCCAAGGCATTTACTTACCTAAACAAAACAGAACCGATCCCCGTCCCTTTTGCTGCATTGGCCAGTTTATCATTCAGTACATTCTGAACTTACTATGTAACAAAAACACTTTTAATTGGACCAAAATGGATATATGGAATGCTTGTATTGCGCAGTGTCAGGCTGCTGTTAGGGAGGCCGTTCTGAGGATACTTGTCAGGTAAACATCTTTCCCTCAGGGGGACAAGTGCATCATTAGCAGGAGGGTCCAGAAGACATAACCTCCTCAGCACACAAGGAGGAAATATGTACAATGTTAAAAAAAACCTGATAAATACTAAAAGCCGTGCATTAAACTAGGAGTAATAAAAAAAATGTATACATAAATGAATACATTTTTGTTGTCTCCAAAGCAGCTCTAGACATTGGGTATTTTAAGAGTAAATAAACAATATTATGGAAGTTACTGTACGTTTATTTTAGGACAGATTCCCAGTGATGGGTAATAAGTACAGAAAGCCAGGAATAGCTATTTGACACATCCCAGCGGAGGGGGAAGGTAGCTATGAACAGAAAATAGCTGGGAAAATAGAGGTGTTTTCAGTCTCCTTGCTGATGCCACAATCCTTTTCCTCTCTGCTACCCCTGATTCATTTCCCATTGGCCGGTTTCTCCTTTTTCATGCCCTAGTTTGCGTATCCTTTGGCCCAGACCTGGCTCTCTGTTTTTTTTTTTTTAATAATCCTTAGCCTGGTCCAGCAGTGTTCATGGTGCTGGTGCGAGATGAAAGTAGTGTGTTGTGGACTGGTACAGCCCTGTCTCATGATCACGGCATAATCCTCATTACAGCGCACACACATACACATTCACGGGCTTGAATACACTCCACTTTATTCTAAAGCAGAGAGCTAACTGGGGAGAAGATGTAAAAGACAGAAAGGGTTGATCATTTTATATATTTTGGTGAAGTTCAACATGCTGTGGTTACGAGCAGGTAAACTCAATGTCTGTTCCCATTTTTGTCTTCATTTCTGTGTCACTGTTTATATTATGTATCAGTAGAAATCTGTCTGTAAACGGGGTGTAACTATCTTTAGTCCTGTGTCCCTCTCTTTGGTTCTGTGTCTGTCTACTTTTCATATGTGAGTATTTATTGTAGCTGTACACCATATTGAAAATATGTCTCTGGGAAAAAACAGGGACCATTTTAGTTAACTGAATATGCTCTGTGCACAGTACTGGATATTTGTGTGGTTAAGAGAGAATGTGAAATATGATGTCGTTGGGGAGAGTTGTGAGTGAAACGTATGTATATGTAATGTACAGGAGCGAGACAAGCATGGCGCTACAGAACAGTCAGGGTCTGTTTCTTAAATTATGAAATGGGTCATGTCTGGCTTCAAGCAAACTTTGTTAACTATGGGACTGACCCGTGCTGGAGCTAAGTTTGGTACTGGAGGACTGTTGGAGTAGCCGTTCGGACACTGCCTTGGTAGCCTCAAGGTCAAGGGCTTGATTCCTGATCTTTATTCTTTCAAACGAGTGCTTCGGAATAAGCTTTTTTGAGTGATTCTGCTGAGATAACCCGAAAGGTAGACGTGAGGTGTTTTTTTCTTGATATTATGCTCTGATGGGGTGATGTGGCAAGTTCTCGCAGCGCTGTGGTGACGAAGCATAATGTCTGTGTTTGCCGTGTCTTTGTGTGAATGCAAATATAGGAAGGTGTCTGTTTCTAACTCTGTGTGTCTGTGTGCCTGTGTGCACACACTGCGCTGTGTTTGCCATCTGATAACATGGCAGACTTTGCTCCACTGTAGTGTGGAAGCGGGAGAGCAGCATTAATCATTAACACAGGGACATGGACGCGAGGCCCATGAACACTTGAACACTCACTGATACACAAATTCCCCCACATGAAATTACATGCAATTTATTAAAATAGACCAAACAGCTAAACAACACACTTTCAGTATAAAAATCCTATAATAGCAGTGTGTGGAATGTCTTATATATAAAGTTGCTGTGAAAATACAGTCAGTAATGTTGTTGATTAGTTGGAAGAGAAGCTGTGAGTGAATGAGATGAATAGCTATGAAGTCCATCCTTGAAGGAACACAAAAGGCAATGTACTTATTGTGAATCGCTTTTAGTAAAAATATCTAATGTGTGGAATGAAAATGAACTCATACTCAGCTTAATGAGATTTTTTCATGAATTATATTTGTCTAATTAAATGGTTTGATACCCAATATAAGGTTCAGCTGAAATCAGATTAAAAGTGACCTGTAGGAAGCAGGAGGCTTATTAGGGTAAATAGATTCCATCTTCTATTTACTGGGGAATTAGTAGTAGGGAGTCGTAATTGCTCACTTGTTAATAAGGCAGAAGACCATTGTTTAAATTAACCTGCTCATATTGGAATTTCCAGAATAATGTTACAGTCTCTAGAATACAATAGATGTTTGGCGGCATGGTGAGTCAGTAGCTTTTGTTGTTATAATATACCTCCTTGATTCTCGGCCTCTGTGTCTGTGAGTGGCCTGGGGTGCTCTGACCCCCCCATGCAAAAGTTCAATCACATGTATGTTGAACAGCAGACTTACATCCTCACATATTCATGCCTGTGTGACTGTGATTGGCTAGAATTCATTCCAGGGTGTGTTGTGCCTTGCACTGTAAGCTGCCTAGGAACAGATTTGGACATCCTCAACCCTGGTTGAATCAAATCTGATCAATAAACATCACATTCTTGCAGAATTAATATTGGAATTCTAGCAAGATATTTGAACTAAAGAGTAGAAAGCGGAAGTAACCCAAACATGAGAGGCAGTGATGTGCAGCTTGTTTGAACACAGACACATTAAAGACTGTCACAGCTTTGTTGCTCTTTTTCTAAAGAGGATCTTAAAGGGGGCTTTATCCATCCATCCATCCATAATGGGTTTATCCAGTATAGAGTTAAGGAAACTTTACAGCCTACTCCAGGAAGCACAGGGCATGAGAAAGGGGACACACTGGGTGGCATGAGGCAATTAATTGTTATTATTGATATTGTTTTTAACAACAATTTCATATCAGCTATTCGGACCTATGTGTATAGTTCATATTGGTGTGATGTCATTAGTATGCGCACATACTTACGTTTCACAGTGACGTCAAAAATTACAAGCAGCCCTTTGGTAAAATTAGGAGAAATTTTAGCAGTGGAAATGGAAACTCATGAGCGTCCGCGTTGTCACTGTACATGACTGTATTAAATTTATATACTTTTTCTTTATCGTTTTGCGAAAGTAACAACATACAGTAGCAGAAAGTATGACGAAAAATCGGCATGCTTGCATGTTTATACAATAACTGATCCGTCAGTTCTGTATGATTTAAGTGTGCTGTATATAAGATCTTTAATGACATTGTCGAAGAATTGCAACATACAGACATTATGGAAATATAGGCAAATAATCTCATTACTTTTAACCTGCTTAGAGAAAGAAATATAAAAATATGTTTTTTTTAATCAGTTTTTAACTGATTCTTTTTTGTATTTTTGTTATCTAGTAAATATTTGCTAAGTGAAAAATAAATGGGAATTCACAGTACAAATGTAAACATCACCATATTTCTGATTTAAGAAGGCTACATATGTGTCAAGCGTAATTCGGTCACGCTCAGCGGAAAGTGGATATTTGAGAAATACTATAGCCAGCTAAATGCCTGTTACTTTGCATAAATAGCAATCAAACAAACAAAGTAAATATTTTTTCAGATATTATTAAACGATTGAATTGAAAATATTAAACTTAGCCATCACGCTAAAAAAAAAAAACTTTAACCAAAACGAAATAACTTTAAAAGCTGGAAGATCCAGAAAATGCGCTACACAATCGCATATTCATTGTCCCCACTTTCCATAAATTCAGAGTTGTACTGTCAGGTTTGTTATCTTGCCTAAATCCTGCGTTTATTCTTTTTCCAGTATAATACTATCAAATATGTCTTGCATATTTGGTGCAATAATGTGACACTGCCCAGTCTTTAGTAGTATCTTTCAGGAAATTTGCCCAAAAAGTCTCTCCATAAAACAAAATGCACCTTGCAGTAAACAGGCTTTAAATCCGTACGAAAATATGTAGTATTAATAGTATTAAGCTATTTTCGTCACTGATGTGTTCCTTTAACAGGTGAACCTGTACTTAGGAATCCTCTTAACATACATCATTCGTGTTTATTGTCTTATTTTGCTTCTTTCATATCTAACTGTCAACTGTTATTAGTATTAACTTAATAAATAATTAACTTATTACTAGTCGTCATTGAATTATCATTGCAACAAAAAGTCATACAATGCTACAAATTACTTCCAGATACAATGCTACAAATTACTTCCAGGTTTCGTAGATTGTTATTGATTTTTTAAACCGGGAATACAGGCCTTCAGCAAACAGAAATTCTTGTTAGTCAAATAGTTAACAGTCTACATCAAAATATAATACAATGTACTTTATTGAGCCTATTTATTATAAAAAATTGAGGTAAGAAAGCTGACAAAGATTGTTTGCTGTCACTGCAGCTACGGTTAAACATTAAAGCGATGCTAGGACTTCAAAGCAGTAAAAACAATTTTGCATGAAATTACGCATATTCGCTCAAATTGAATCCATGCATATATTCGTATCATTATTTAGTTCTAAAATTAACAACGAATAAACCTGCGTGTCGGTGCTAGTGCGTTTAATATTATAAACTGTGAAACAATTCATGTGAGCGATAAATCACGTGGAAAAATTAATAAATCGCGTTTTTATCGGAAATATCAGGAGGCAAATTTAGTTATTAATTGTGGTGATTTCCCATTGTTTGTGTTTATTGATATTGATTTATTTAGGATCGTAATATAAAGGAAAATGGTAGGTAGCAAAATTTTGCTTTAATTATTCTGATTTTTATGCTTAACTTAAAATTTTGATGAAGTGGAGGGTGGGCAAAACCGACTGAAATCTTATTTTACTCATAGAGTTTGTATTGCGGCATAACTATAAGTAATATAGGCTACTCACCAAATAGTTTTCGATTACTTTAAAAATGTTGTGGTAAAACACTGAAAATATAAGATGTCGATCACCTTAATTATCACATAGGTGTAAATGCTTGCAAACAACATAGGCCTACAAGATACCCACACTGTCCTATTTGTGATTTTTAATTGCGAACGCACGGTTATAGGAGCGAATGGTTGGATCGCATTCCGAATTCGTGAGGTCAAAATGTAATCTTTTTAAAACTGTGGTATGTGTAACTTGATTTATGGATATTTTCAATATGTGTAGTTAATTTGATTGTGTGTAACTTAAGAGTTCATGGGTTCAGTACCAGGTATCCCGCCGAACCACGTAATCAATTTTCAGCATTTATTACAACGACAGGCGAAAGATCTCTTTCGATTTATTTCTAATAAAAACTAAAATACGTATTACTTATACAATACATGTCTTAAGGTTTCTTAAGGATGTATCCCTACAGTGTATTGTATTTTTTTACTATTTAATATCAAGTAAGGGGTAATAGAACTAGTCAAAGAAAGTTTAAAAAGTTGCATAATGAATGATTTAAAAGTGATTTTAAGAAACATTTCCAAACAGCGTGGACTGAATCAGTGGGAATCAGATACTACACGTATGCATTTCTCTGTGTGCTTGTTCTGCGCTGGTACACTGCGTACACCCAGATGTGCTACTGTGTGTGTGTGTGTGTGTGTGCGTGCGTGTGTGTGGATGTGTGTGTCAGTGGCTCTGTGTGTGTGCGTGGGCGTGCATGTGTTTGTTTTACTTTGTCACATTCAAGACAAATCGGGCATTGAAAAGGTTGCCCACAACACTCTGACCCCTCACTGTCTCTCATAAGGGCAGTCTGTATCCAACTTGTGCTGACAATCAATGCACTGTGAGCTGGCCCACACAGCTGGACGGAGGGAGAGAGAGAGAGTGAGACAGAGACAGA